GCTCAGGCCTCTGAGGTCTCGATTGTGTCCAGAACATCCACCAGGTCTCTCAGTTGCTCGGTTCCAACATCTAGAAAATAAAAAATGACACCAAAACTGAAAACCGAGAAAATAAACTTTGGCTTGGTTCTGTCCGGTTTGGCTTGATTTTTGTTCCTTCAGCTTAAATGCACCCAGCTTTACTCAATGCATGTGCCTTTCGAAATGTAACCCTGGACCTCCATGTTCTTTTGAATAGGAGATTTTCTCTCTTTTATGTCTTTTCCATTTTATTTCTCCGGCCTCTTTTCTTTTAGAAGGACCAAAATAGCCCTAGCATCAATCTCTCTCCTCCTGGCTTGTTGATTAAGGCCGGGTGATGCTATTGTCCATCCTCGCCCAAAGTCACCCTTCGACGCCAAGATCTCTCCCCGTCCAATGCCAGCGCTTGGATGCCCTACACACGCAGTTAGAAGCAAGTCGGACCATCGTTGACGTTCTCTCCTCGAGGCTAGTGGCGCCATCATCGGTCAAACAACTTGGGGGAGTAGGGCGCCGAGGCAGACCGATGGCGTTGGGCGTGGTGCTGAGCCGCACTGGACCTCGATTCTGGTATGCGGTGGTGTGCGCCGTTGGATTGGAGTACCAAAGTCGGGTGAGGCGACCAAGCCTTTGCGGCGAGTCTGGCGTGCAATGACGGTGGCAGCAGGCAGTGGCGCTGGAGTCGAGCGGGGTGGCATTAGGTAGTGTGGGGCATTAGTGTCTGTGGTGAGGCAACGTCGGTGCGGGGTGCCAGAGTCATGGGTGACTGCGATAATAGTCGTGAGATATACGTATCTTGGAAAAAATAATTAGATGTGAGATACAATGAATACGAGAGTATAGGCGGTGGCCGATACCTTTCCTTACGTGTTGTAGAGGAAAGATGTAGTGGGAAGGTTGATAATCAATAAAATTCGATGAATTGATGAAAGAAAATAAGTTCCAAATGCCCATGTACATGTGACTAATACGTAGCGATTGCCAATGATAGAAGAAATCCATCATTTCGGTGAAAGCCAGTATTCTTAAGGCCAATAGAGAAAACCGATGTCTGATAATAGCCTATATTAATCCTACATTTGAAGAACAATTTTGCTAGAGGGTGGGACATACCAATAGTGATGTTTCCCTGCATGTTAGAAATAAAGAATGGAATATATGATTACTTCATAATAGCCGCTTATGCTAAGAGAGAGCTGCTTGGGGTGATTTTTGTCTATGCAACTAATTTTGTTGCAAGTATTTCAGTCACCTTGGGGACTTATTTCATGCGAAATTTAGGATTACTTCACATTTCACTCAAAAAAATATAAGTTAAATGTGGACATCGGACAATAGACTGCTAAATGCATGAAAATAAAAAGTTAAGTGCATACTGAGTGAAAGCCCCTTGTCACCCTTGAGACGAAAATAAAATTCAACAAAATTTTGTTAAGATAAAACGGGCCACTTATTTGTGTGTGACAGTACGGCCCTGTTCGCTTCGCTGAAAAACAAGTCGAAACATTGTTCCGGTGATTTGTTGTGAGAGAAAAACACGGTTCCGACTAAAAAAATAAACTGAAAAAGACGAATTATTAGAGAAGCGAACATAGCCTACGCGGTACGGTGCATCATAAAGAGGTTTCTGGATTCTGGGCAATGTATGTGAGACTAAAAAAAAGGAACAGCTTGTTGACACCACGTGAGTGTTTGAAAAACCAGATGTCAAATGACTGGATTGGAAAGAGGCATTAGCGAGCCTTCGCTGAAAAATAATCAGATACTAACATATCTCTATCTACGAATCCTGCCACCCAAAGCGAGCTAACGGAGAGGGCCACGTCGTCCGTTAGCACGATACCAGTCAGATCAGGCAAACATAAGATCTGAGTCCGTCCAATCTAGATCGGTTTGGATCTTCTGCTCGCTTTATCATTTACCTGATAGATCACGAAGGTTAGCGGCCCAATGCTCGTCCCCTCAGCCTGCTCCGCGCCCTCCCCATCTCCACTCCACCCTTCGCTTGCCGCGCCACCGGAGCGTGTTAGAATCGCGGTCACCAGCTGGCACTGGCGATCGGCCCTCGACGCGGCAGGGCGGGGATCTGGCGGCGAGCCCTTGACGCGGCGGCTCCCGGCCAAGGCGTGGGTGCGGCCAGCCATGGGTCCCCCGTGCGAGCGGCAGCGAGCAAGACACCGGCGCAGGTCCATTGGCGCGGCAGGCCACCTGCGCGTGTCCCTGCCAACGGTGAGCTGGCAAGGCAGAGGGCTGCAGGCGCGGCGGGACCGAGCTCGTGTCGGCGAGAGTCACGTGCGCCTAGGGGCGTCCGCGCACGCCGTGGAGACGGCCGCATCCTGCGTCGGGGAGCAAAAATTTGGCAGATAAAATCCTTAATTAACGCAGCCTCCACGGCATAGTTGACGCCGGAGCCTCAGACGGCCGCCTAACGGAAGCCGCTGGCCCAGAAGTCGAGCCGGTGACTCCGCCTATGCCCGGGGGCCTAGCCCACCGCGCCGCCGCGCCGAGGCGGATCTGCCCCGCCGTGGCCGGGGCCGGTGCCACCTCGCCTCACTGCGCCCCGCCATGGCTGCGTTGCCGCTGTGCCGGGGCCTCCGTACCGCCGCCGTGAGAGACAAGGAGCTCGCCTTAAACGCGCCGTGGAAAGCGACGGAGCAACGCTTGAGGCATCATGTATAAATTATAAGGCTTATCGTTATCCGAAGCGATCGAGCACCAGCACAAGGCGCCATCAGTGCCTCGCTTTCTCGCTGCTCAACTCCCGCGTCTTTTTTGAGCCTTTGCAAGCAACTGCCACCTCCTGCTTCATACTGCAATCTTACGGCTACAATTCTTGCAATCAAGGGTAAAAGGTACGCGTTCTTCTCTCATATTTCGAGGGTCATCTGACAGCAGACTTAATGGTAGCGTTCGGGTTGGTCTGAAAGTTTCAGACTAGCCGGTGGGTTCGACTTGTTCCCCTCACATTACTACAAAGCATCTTTCAAAGCCGCTTAAAGATTTCTCTCTCACAAAACCAAATAACCATGCGCTTGCTCCAATTGTACTTTTGTTTTTGCTTCTTTTCAGTAGAAACGAACGAACGGGCCTATGTATCCATTACTAAGAAGCTTGCTGTTTCCTAAAAAAAAAGCTTGCTGTTCCCTTACATTACTATTTAGCAAACATGGAGGAGCGAGCTTATATTTATTAATTTTTTAATTTGACCAAAATATCTAAATATATAATTATATATTAGTATTCATGATGAATAATAGGTATCATTAGATTGAGCATAAAATTTATTTTCGTAATAAACTTTTTTAGAGATACAAATATTGACACTATTTTCAATATGCCTAGTCAAACTTAAAAATGTTTGACTCTTCAGAAAGCAAGATATATGTTTATTTTAAAACGGATGGTGTATGTTACTTGGATGACATGCGGAATAAATTATAGAAGCTTATCATGTTATGCATTAAGACTAATTGCACACCACACCATTGATCCTAACACTTAAGTTTCATCTGAAATAGACACAATGAGCAAAGCATTGGAGAGTTCAAGAGCGGTGTTAGGGAAGCTCCAACAATCAAGTTTTAAGCTAGCTTTTGATCAAGAGCTAAGGGGGTGTGTTTGGTTCATCCTCCTAAACTTTAGTCGTTGTCCCATCGGATGTTTAGACATATGCATGGAGTATTAAATATAGACTAATTACGAAACTAATTGCACAGTTTGCGACTAATTCGCGAGACGAATCTTTTAAGCCTAATTAGTCCATGATTTGACAATGTGGTGCTACAGTAAATATGCGCCAATGACCGATTAATTAGGCTTAATAAATTCGTCTCGTGGAGTACTGACGGATTCTGTAATTTATTTTTTTATTAGTATCCGAACACCCTATGCGACACTCTCATATGACACCTCCTAAATTTTAGTAACTGGATCAAACACCTCCTAAGCTTTTACACACATATCAAGGTTACATAAGAGTGTCATAGGGGTAATCTATGTTAAAAGCTATATGCTAAAAGTTAATACTATTAGAGAAATTAGCTTAGAACTAGTAACTAGCTCTAACCATCATATGTGCCCTTTGTAATCTGTCTCCAACCCTTGTACTATTATGTCCTTGTTTATGACAAAGAAAGACAGTAGATATGGCCTTTGTAATAGGTAGTATGGCCAGTCGTTGGTTGAATGGATGATGTAACAGTGTAAGGCCCTGTTTGAAATGCGGAATTTTTATTATTTTTATGTTTTTCCCGTGAAATTGAATGGATTCCTATAACATGTGAAATTCCTACGTTACAAACACACCCCAAATGGACTCGACGACCGGCACTAATCGTGTTCATGTGCATGGTAACTCTTTCCTCCCTGCAAGCTACAGTGCAGTATCCTTTAATATATAAATAACTAAGATCAAGTACAATAAGTCATGTCAGTTTGTTTTATAGCCAAGACAACTCAGTAAAATCCAACGTGGATGAGAGAGAAATCTAAAAAGAGAGAGCACTTTGATGCAAGTTTGGGCAGCCGTCGATTGCACATTTCTCACCGCTCTCGTGCAAGCGCGAGAAGCATCTGTCCAGCCCTGGACAGCAGCATTGTCAGACGGGCCCTCTTTCTCCTGATTCATTGGGTCTAATACAATAAAAAATGATACTTTAAATTTTAGAACAGACAAGCTATTGTATACTTTGTCTCTAGATGTAGGGTCCGTTCGTTTGTCTCTGAATTCTAAAGAAATTTGGATGGTTTAAAGAAACGTGGAAGGAATTTGTGAGAGAAAAATACAGTTCCGGATAAAAAAATAAGCGGATCAAGCCAGGTTTAAGGGCACTTGAATGGGGCCGTAGTCTTCAAATGATATTGCTTGGCTATAAGCCGAGTTTATTGGGTTTGCTCTTATTGATTGATCACACACGAGTTTCTGTGCAGTGCAGTATCGTTATATTTGCTTCCGGCTTCCCACCTGACCTGACTTGTTCTCAAACTCTGGAGCATGCAGCTGGATCGCCCCTCGTCTGCCGGGTGTTGTAAGAGCTGCATCCAGGGCACTTGTGCGCCAAGATGTGGAACTGCACGTTCGCCGTCATGCCACAGTCGTTGCACAGGATCCATATCTGAACGTGAACCCAGGAACAAAACATTAACACAAGGCTGAAGGCTCCCAATTTGACAGAGGAACCCAAGGGAGACAGACAGAGAGCCTACTCTAAAGAACGTGCCCTTACCATCTTCTTCTGATAGATGGCCGGCATCAGGGACGCTGCGACCTGAAGGAATGAACAGTTACTTGGATTGGTACCTGAAGATGCAAGATAAGATGAGTTGTTGGGAGAGGAAGCTGTACCTCTTGATCCAGCTTTTGCCATATGTCGGACATGTTGCAGGCAGACCTCAGGCAAACCGGGCATGAGAACCTGAGGAAAATGGTAGGTTAGCTAGCATCGGATTAGCTGGGATGGACACGGTCTGGAACCGCATAAGGTGAAAGTCACTATGTCAAGTGGAGGCTTACTGCTGATGCGCTCTCATCTCGTACAGGCATTCCAGGTGAATCGTGTGTCCACAATGGAGCACATTGATAGCTTTCGTCGAGTCGAATAGATACTGTGGCAGAAGATGGTTAGGGGATGAGTTATCTATCTACTATCTACTGAATTTCAAGAGATGTAGAGATGCTCATGCTCTCTTTGAAAAGCATATAATACTCACCTCAATGCATACGGGGCAGTTGTTATGCATAGCTCTGTCCACGCAACGGTGAGAATCTTTCAACAGAGAGGTGTAGCAGCATCCTGTAATAGAACAAACCCACAGATAGTACAAACTTTCATAAGGACATTAAACAAGGAAGTAATAAAAATACTTAGCTCTTGGCCTCTTGCTCCAAGAAATGAACAAAATACTTAGTTGAAAACAACCATACCACATTTATCACAGTGGTAGAAATTCTCTGCACCACCAGTTCTGTAAAAACAATTACAGCTTAGGACTCATGGGACAAAACAGAAGGTTAATGTTTCGGAAGGTTCCTAGCATTACTGAAGGTTTAATACTACTTGCCTACATATGCCGCATCCATCACAGTGAAATTGGTTCTTAGATACCTGAAATGTCAGGGAACACGACACAAAATCGGAGAAAACAGAAGATGGAATACTTCTGAAATTACGTCCAAATTAGCGAGTAAAATCATCGACTACTTCGCTTAATACTTCAAAACCGAGCTTACATCATCATCGAAGAAGTTGCATTTTGCGCAGAAGTATTTACCGAGACATGCTCCACAATTTGAACAATCTTGTTGTACCTGTCAACAAAGGAAATGATATTCATGTGACACAGCAGGTAATGCCAACAGCAGCTGAAAAACACTGTCCCTGCTTCATTAGGAAACTTACATCCTGTTCTTTATTGCAGAGAGAGCAGATAACCTGTGATGTTCAGAAAAAAATTGCAGAAAGGTAGGAGTAGTATCACTATTTGCCACTGCCAGAGGAGGCTCATAATGATTCAGACGATTTAAAAATTAAGCAGAAAAGAAAGGGACAGTGACTGATCCGTATCTGCAGAACTGAAGAGCAAGCTAATCTGTATCTCGTGCAAAATGTTCTATGCTGAGGTATGCCATATTATTTATTTTGTTGTGTTAATGTGAATATAGGTTGGTTCTTTTGCAGTTTCATGTAGACTGTACAGCAGGCCAAGAACGCCTCCTGTCACTGACCAGCTTGATGTCGTGACGGGGAACCACGTGGCGGTCGTGGACGCTGACCTCCAGTGAATCCTGCAAAGAGGAAATCAGGCTAATACCACTGGGCCAAAAATTGTATCCTGTATGAACCAGCTCGAAATTAAACGTGCAAAATTTCAGAGGATCCAGTGCGAAGTCCTGACCTTGGCTTCGTTGTGGCAGTGCCTGCAATCAAATACCTCGCCGCAGCACGGCGCCCTTATCTTGCATTTCCTCCTGTAGTGCACACACCTGGCGTCCCGGGAGTGTTTGGTTCCGACAGGAAAATGACGCAAAGAGGTCAGTTCGGTTGCAGAGGGGAGGGAAACTAAAAGCCATGGCCATGAGAAAATGGTGGTGGTTACCCGTATCGCTCTGGTCCGGCGTCAGCGTCCATTGCTCGCACCTTTCCCCTTGGTTGTTGTGCATGCACCTGAATTGAGCAAAGAAAGTAAAGACGCAGTGGGTGAAAAGGGTTCGTGAAAGAAACTTCAGAGCCTGCTTCTCTTCCCAGAGACGGGCCCGAGCTTAGCTTCACCTTCTCTGCGTCAGCTTCACGACCGTGCCGGGCGTCGCCGCCCACCAGACGTGAGACACCGTCACACCGACGGAAGGACGGAAGACGCGAGCAGAGAAAGATAGAGAGATGGCAGGAGGATAGGCGCCGGCCTGGGGCTTAAAGAAACAGAGCAGCAGAGCGGCCGTCCACCGCTCCAGAAGCCGGCGGTGGAGAGAAACACAACGGCAACAAGAAGATAATAAAGCCGCGTCCGTGCTACGACGGGCTCTTGCCGACCCACGAGGCACCGTCCCAACTCCCACGCGCAGCAGTATTCCACCCGTACCGCCGTACCTGCGTGAGCGCACCGGCGAAGCCGCGAAGCAGGGGCAGCGCCGTGCCCGGCCCGGCGGACGGCGGCTGCTTGCTCGCTTCCCGCGCCGCGCCGTGTGCAGCAGGGACGTGCTGCCGAATGCCACTCCGCCCGCAATCCGCACGGCACGGCACGGCTGCCGCGGGCTATATAGGCAGGCGGCCGGGCGTGCAGTGCGAGTGTGCGTGCGTTCAACAAGGACACAAGGTAGGCATCGCATCGGCGCCTCAAAGAAAGAAAGAAGCAGCGGGGCGTTGCGGTTGCGTCGTATTCGGTGGCGCTTGACCTTTATGTGACGCACTAAATAAAGTGTACTGGGAACTGGCAAAGGCCGTCGTTCATTTCCTGGGCGGCGGCGGCCTCGGCCTCGTGAGCGCCGAGCGCCCGATCCTGTGGGGGACGGACGGTTGGGGCGTCAGCGTCAGGCGTGCACTGCACGGGTGCGGTCTGCGAGTACGCGTCGCCGGCTCGCGGGAGTGATGGCTTGCTTGGTGCCTCGTGTCGTGCGAGTCCACTGATCAGTGTCACACACGGCACTTGATCCGCGTCATGGCAGCCGGACGCCCGGACGTGCATGCATGCGCATCGTTCTTCTACCGTGTGTTTGTTTCCTAGGATGAGAAGCAGGGGTACGTACACCTGAGCAGCTGACGGAAGGGTCCCACAACTGACTGCGTCTAATAGTGTTAGAGACATCATCCATCCTATTGCCAGATCCCTCCTACTACTGAAGAAACCTTCCTCTGCCGTCCATCGATGGATCAGAACTTTGGCCAGTGAGTATACGCTATCTTCTTGAGCGCTCTTTAAAATTTGCCAGAATTAAAGCTGCAAGTTTGCTCGAAACAACAGGGGAAGGAACTCCATACGTGTGGACGTGTGGTGCAGGTGGTTTCTTGTCAAAGAGGCCATTCTTGCTTTCCCGGACCGGAAGCGACAGGCCTACGCAAGTGCATGCGCGTACGTTTCTCTCGTAACCTCTTTTTTATCAACCAAACCTGAAAACATGACATGCTATCTGATCAACTATCGAGAGGCTATGCGTGCGACGTACTCGTCACACTCCAGTTCCGGGTCGTCACGGATTGCAGACAGCGTGAAAGGAGTGCGTTGCCAGCCTCGCATTTCCCTCCCTCGTCCTCATGTTAATATAAAATAATTGAGACGATAGATGCGGCAGTACTAGCTCGTGTTTGATCGTGTATCCGACGCGCATTGTTTGACTCGAAAGTTGAGGCATGCATGCATGAGGCGTTCAAATTCCAGTTGGTGCCGGTTCATCCTATAAACAATCAACGTGAGTTGCAGGGTGGTTCTCTGGGTAAACATCACCTTGACAGCGTGGGTAGTTTAATGCTATAAATTCGGACACAGCACAATGGTTCTTCTAATAAGGTCATTCTTAGTGGAGGTGTCATGAGAGATTTATGAGTAGTATTGAATAAGCTACAAAACTTAGCAGATATGTTGATATATCACAATATCGATGAAAAGATCAAAGTTTCATGGGAGTAAAACAAGTACCATGGAGATGAAACAAGTCCATACTGTTTCAATATATGCGAGCTCTGAAAACTAGGATACGAAACCTCCAATTGAAAGCACAATTCAAAGCACCACTCATCACCTCTACAAGATGACATAACCACAAGGCGCGTCATTGGCTGGAGGCTGCTCCATGCCATGTAATGTGAATATAGGCATGTAGGGACTCCAGTATGTTAAAGTAATGTGATGCGAAACGATTATGGAAACGTGCACATTGCTGATTTATGAGTGGACATTACTTTTTTGTGTTTGTCTGTGAATTAGTCATAAGCCTAAGTGTTTGTACTAACCCTCTCTAGTGAAATAAATTAAACGGTTTTTTCAACTCAAGTTGATCAATTTGGAGAACTAGCTCATACAATTTGTGAAACTAGATAGGAAAGTGGCCTCCAAACCATGAGGATAGGAAAACTACTCTCGAACGAGTTGTGAAGCTTGGATCATCACAACCGGTTTGTGACACAGACAAGTAGTTCATACCTTCACTCCCTATTCAATAACCAAAGTGATACCTCGTATCACAACTGTATTCTTACACCGAAATAGAAACCGAATCTTAAGGGGTTAACGAATCGGTTATGGTGGCGGATTCTCGAGTTCATGATAGCAACAGAGCGATAGCCTGAACCAAACTGTGCATATAGTCCCTTTTAATATGGTTGGTGGCCATGAGTAGCCCATGTTAGCTAGTATTGAGATAGAGCCGAGTGCGCTCTGAGGAAACACGAGCCGAGCGGAAGGCTGGATGACCTGTGTCAAGTGAACACAAGCACTGCTCAATATCCAGTGTGGCAAAGCTCATTACTATTATAGTGTACGGACCAAAGATTTACCAGATTACCATGTTGTTACACTTAAATTGAGTAGTCTACAAGTTGTTGGACTAATAATCTAATATGCACTCACTCGCCAATTTGTTGTGTGGTGGATGCAATTTTCCCATACCTTCAATTCACTATTTCAGTAGCGTCATATAGCTGCAATTGTAAAACTCTTCCCGCAATCGTAAAATCACAAGTGCTAGATCTTCACAACTCATTCACCACCCACTAAGGTAACATTTATGTACCGCGATAGAAAGAAAACTCTAGACCCTTCTTTTTTACAACGTACAAATACATCGAACCTGATTACTTCTCATCCTTTCTATATACATATATGCTATTCTACGCTTTGTTATTCTACACCGTGAAGCACTCTACTACTGTTCCTGGACTGATTTTTTTATAATTCTAATAAAGTCAGTAGGGGCTAAAGCCCATCCCGTTTTCATTAAAAAAAAACCAACAGACCCGCTTCTTCTAGCGATGGGCAGGCCACCACGCTTCCTAAACTCATGGCTTCCGTCTAATATGTGTTTTTCGACCAACCGTGGAACTTCCTCTGTCCCAAATAATTACACATCTCATATTTTTAAAAGTCACAAATATTTTTAAATTTGACCAAATTAATAAAAAAACAAATATTTATTATGATTAGATTAGTTGTAGAATAATATATAAGATACAAATATTGATGATATATTTTATCACTTCTTCTATATTTCAGGTGCCTGAATTTTAAGATGATTTCAGACAACACTCTTGTACTACCAATTAGTACAAATAAATTGTCACTTTTATGATTTCTTATTTGTCTTTGTCATAACATATTAAATTTTTGTCCTTGTCTGACTATAGAAATAATTGTAAATTGTTAAATTGTCTTTGTGTCAACACATATAAGATTTTGTCAGGTTTGAGTTTTGTCTAACGGGGTTTTATTCTCGAAATAAAAATACATATTATCACCCTGTTCGCTGATTGGTGCTGGTGCTAGTTTGGGCTGATTGGTGCTGGTTTTTTTTGAGAGAAAAACCCTGTTGGCTAATTGAATAAGCCTGGCTAAAACCAACAAGTGAACATGGTGTATATCTACAGAAATTGCAACGAACTAAAACTGCAATTTCAGTACAAAATATATGTAATAACCGTCGCCTGAAAAAAAACTAAAATTCAGGCATCTGAAATTTAGTGAATCCCATATTTTATAAATCTAATCAAATTTTCTCAAAAAATAAAACACATAGGTCATGTTTATTTGTCTTACAAGTCGTACTATTTCATTAAACGAACAATATTTTTTTCTCATAACAAATTAGCGAAAAGTATTCAGCAAACGAAGAGGGCTAGTTATTTTAAGATGGAGGAGCAGCCTTGGGCGGCACTGCCAACAAACTTTCCGAGCCGAGCTGCCCTTCCACTAGCCGCCGACTCGCCGGCGACAGCTTTGAATCCCGATCAAATCGCAGCTTCTGTCACGAACCTCGCATCTGTAGTGCCGCCGCCCCTTTATTATCGACCAGCTTTTCTATTCAATTTGTAGCGTTCCATGTCCAACTTCATCTGCATTTCTGTTGGAACCACACCACCAACCCTTTGCTTCATCTCGCTCGCAGGACCTTTCATGGGTACTGCAGAAACGAAGGAAGCTCGCATGACCTGCCATCGGTAGCGGTGAAAAGAAAATGATCTGGTGGTAGCTTGTTTTTTCTTTTTTTTTGTGGTGGCAAGCTGAGCGGTAGCACCAAAAGTCCAAAACGGTTTTTGACAGCAATGAGTGATTGTCGGGATGCCTCAGTCAGTGGTAGATGCATTTACGACATGCTTGTGTTCAGAGGAGATCATGGGTCATTGGGGGCAGCGAGTGAACAGGCGGAGGGATGATTGCGCCAAGAACCACATGAAGCAGAACAGGCCCCAGAGGTGTGGTTGTGAGTAGGCAGCGCGAGAGAGAAGTGAGCCCTGATAACGTGCGTCACTAAATTACAGAGAAATCTGTTAATGCGGATTTTCTATTTAGGTTATACGAAGAATAGTTAATAAAAAATACAATAAATATAAGAGTTTTGTTAATTTTAAAAATAAAAAATCTACAGCAACCGATAAGATTAAAATTTAGGTTCATGACATCATAAAATGTTATATTTCTAAGATTTTAGCCCACGCGGGAGTATGAATTGATAGAATAGTTGACTTTAATCTGTTTGGCACGACTTCTTGCGGCTCTAGCTCCTCTGCACCTCGCAATGTAGCAGCACTGAATCGATCTAGACGACGGTAATGTCCTTTCAGACCTTTCCTAAGGTAATGTTAGCAGATACCATGTCATAAAGAGAAAAAGGTCGTCGCGTCTCGCAGCCTCATCACCCTGCTCCAACGCTGGTGACCACCCGGTCCCGTCGTCCACCCCAACGGCGCCGGTGACCTCCCGGCCCCGGCACGGCCTCGCCTGCGTGCCTCGTCCTGGTGCGGCCCTCGCCTACGCGCCTCTAGGACCCCTCTCCACCCGACCCCGACCCTAACCCCGGCGACCTTCGACTCTGCTGCTGCTTGCTCCGGCCATGGCGTCCGCCCCTCTTTGGATTTGCTAGCGTCCGGTGCGACCCGAGCTAGCTCCTTTGCGTTTCATCGGAGCTGGAGAAGGCTTCTACGGATCCTACTTGCAAGGTGTTTGAAGTTTTGCGGCAACCGGTTGGCTTTTTTGGGGATGTTGATGAAGGAAGCCGGTGACCCCCTCGCTGCAGGTGATCTCCGCCGGCGACCTACTGTAGATGGACTTCTTTCATGGCAAACAGTTTGAGAAGACCATCTCCTCCTCCCTCCACATCCCGGTTTGTTCTTCGCCCTCCTCCGGTTCACCTGGTTTCTTCCTCGTCATCTCTGTTGGCCAGTGCAAATTTCGTCTTTCTGTGGATTCTGTGTCTTCAATCCTCTGCTCCATTCTTGGTGGTGTGGAAAAGGCTTTCAATGTTTTGCAGCTCGGTGATAGAGTTTTTCGCTTCTCAGTTTCTGGCCGAGCTGTGGGGTTTCATGTGCTTGACATTCGTTTCTTTGAGACTGATTCTTTCAAAGTCTTCTTCCACCTCTGGCATGATGGAGGTCCGCAGTGGAGACATGAATTCCGTCTCTGGCAAAATGAGCAAAATGCTCTTTGTGTTGGTTTGATCTCCCAACCACAGTGGCCCAACGGCCACTTGGGCCTTGACC